ATACAATTTGCTATTGACAATGAAGAAAAGGCCAAAGAAAAATTTGAAGCTCTAACAAATTTGAAAAAAATTTTTAGGAGCTTCTCCAGATGGGTTAATAAATTCTAATTCAATTGCAGAGATTAAATGTTCATATGCGGCTTGTAGTAAAAATATTAAAGAGCTATTAAAAATAAAATCATTAATTTATTGTTCAATAAATGCAGTTATTACAATTACCTAGTTTGAACCCGAACCACAACTATAGGTATGTATCAGGTATAACAGGGTCCAGTGCATATCCTTCTTAAGGCTCGCGTCTGGATCGGTTTCGCCCTATACTAAATACATTGAAAACATCGTCGTGGTTTCCGGAGTTGCATTTTAAAAATACGGGATATATCGCTTTAAAAAAATTATATTTCGAATTAACAAACTTGAGTCCAGGGGACCTCCATATTTATATTCATATCTAGTCCGCAGTTTTTACAAAAAAAAATTATAAAGTTGACCAATTTTTACACCAGATTTAACCGGTACATTGATGCATTTTTTGAAGAAGTGCTGAAGTGATTTGCATTCTGAGATAGGAGGTCCCCTGGGGAAAAGTGTCAGCTTTCTTTTGATACCATTTATAATCCTAAAAAATTCACGACTGAGGTAAATAACTCTCGAAAAGACAGAATCTGTTGAAACGAGAAATCGCCATTAAACGAGCTATGATGCCGTAGCAGAATACAGGTTTACTTAGATTCTGGTTTGGTTGCAGACTTAATTTAATGTGGACCTTGTCCACCAGGGGGAGCTGTTTTTACTCAGCGATTTATCGGAATAAAATTTTGATATCGCATTTCCGATTTTACAATACCATTTAGGTTTTTAGAAGTGACAAAATAACGTATCCATCTTTTTTACTAAAACAGTAAAAAAGATGGATACGTTAAAAGTTAGTTATTAAGTATGTTTTATTTAAGAGATCAAAAGGTATTTACAATCCTCCGCAGCTGAGGCACATATAAATCTGTTTTATATTAATTATTTTTTATCCTCTATGAAAAAATAAAATTGAAACGTGTTTTTATATATATACTCTGAAACGTCATTGAGTTGTTGGTGAAGATGAAAGAAGTAAAACGATGTCAAAGTTTTGTAATCATAATCAACCTACGCCGATATAGGTATGATTAAAAAGAGATGAATTGATGGCAGGTAGAAAAGCATATTATCTTCTGTAGGACAGTAACAGAACAAATCGGGTTAGCGACTTTCTATCCAGACTGTAATACTCAGTATAATTTCACAGCACACACTTGTCAAACCGAACCCATGCAATATTAATATTTGTAAATGCTGCTTATTTTAATTATATATTACTAATCCCTTAAAAAAATGGGGCATACAGACAACCAACAAAATTTAAACATTTCAAATTTTTTGACTTCCTGTTCAGTATTATTTCAGGAGCCAAACAGCAGCGATAGAATTTTTCTAATTTTGGAAACATAATTTCTGTTCATATTTTTCGATCTCTAAATATTGTTTCTATATGGAGGTTATTCTGATCTCCACTATAAACCACAAAGTAGCAAATCTCCTTTTCACAAATTTCCAGTTGACCTTGAATCTAAAAATGTTGTAGTTTGAATTATGACGGGAAAAGGATTAATGTTTCACAGCTTATAACTAGAAAGCGGATTTCTGTCGGGCTAGGCAAGGCCAAACTCGGTACGGCTCGTACGGGATGGAAATTCATTGAAGTTACGGGCTGCACTTCGTTTATTTGAGATTAGAATAACGCTGTTTCGTTGCACTCTGCTGTTAATTTCCGTTCTCATTTACTTAGCTGTTTGATTAATAAATCGTTAATTATATTTATGGAATAAGTTATGATTAAATTCAGTGATTATCTATCACCCGCTACTGAGTCCCGGCGATCCAGCGCGTCCCCACCTATAATCGTGACGTAGCCCGACAGAAATCCGCTGTCTACTTATAACATACTTGATAAAAGTATTGATGATTTCGTTTAAGTTGGATGTTTTTATTTCAATTCAATAAACTTATGTGTTTTTTTACTGTTTGTACAATTTTTTGTACTAATTGCACGTTTTGTTTTTTTTTTGCGTAGATAAAATTTGTCACGAGCCATTATTATAAAATAAGGTGTAACAACAAAAATATAGTGCAAATAATTTGTAAGTGGACGACCGAAACTATGTTTTAGGCAGACACTGACAAAGTGGTAGTAACATTGGCAACTGTTCCAAAACTGAGTTTTGCCGAAAAAAGGTACTTTACGTGCATTTCAAACAATTACATTCATAGGACTCTACCATTTCTGCCAGCCAGATGTAAACAACCACCTACAATAAATTTAACAACTTTTGTTTGTCACCGGAAGTGGGACTGGTATTGCGGACTGAAATTATCCCTTGTACACGCTTTCGACTCCATTTGAGTAACAATTTTTTTCCGAATTTAAAATTACGTTCAAGTTGTTCAAGCCTAAAATTTAAAATTAAATATTTCCGAAACAGTATGACAAATATGTAGTGAACAAAAAATATTTACACCTTATACAAAAAAATGAGGTTTACGATGCGCAAGCATATGATATACGTAAAATTAAAAGTGCAAGTCAAAGTTAATATGCATAAAAAATAGCAACTGCTTCTATTAAAAATTTAAAATCAATTATTTAAATCCTTACAAAACGATATACTAACAAACAGTTTAAGCAAAGTCAAATTTTTAAATAAACTGCCTTCTGCCATGCAGTTAGCCGCCAAAATAATTAACATGAATATTTTAGTACTTACATAAAAAACCACCGTTGAATGCTTAGAATTACTTGCATACAACGTACTAATGATTTGCGTTGAAGAAAGTAAAAAATTTTGCTATGTGGCTAATAGCTTCAAGGACACGTTATTATTCATTTTCAAACGATTGCGGCTAATAATTTTAACAATTTATTGTTATTTACTTGGTAAATATATTTTTATTTTTATTACTATTGTTTTGTTGCAAACGATAAAGTAAATAACAAAATCAAACTCTTATACATTATTAAGTTTAAGAAAAATTTTCCGCCAAAAATATTCTATTTGTAATGAATGGGCATGCCCGACAGTGCAGATAGTAGGAAAATAATAAAAATATTTACTTATACCGGAAATATTGTTAATTCTCTTATTTCAAGTTTAGCCTACAAATGTGGAAAATCCCTCCCGTTCGTAAATAGTACCTTGGCGCGACCAATTTTTGCTTTACATGATGTTCCTGTAATTCAGACAAACAACACATCCTTGATAGGAATAAATCAAATATCTACAGATGATTCCCCGACAGTAGGAGGTACTTTAATATTTACATATATTTAATATATTTACCGAAAACAATTTAAGTACGGAAACAAAATAAATAACTGGAAAGAATTAACTGTAGTCAAAATAGGAAAATGAATCAGTGAGTTTTACATCTTTCGGGTTTTGAACGGTCAAGGGTAAATTCAGGTACTCGGGTTTTGTTTGCAACTATTATGGCTAGACAGGCACTGCGGCTTGTGTACTAAAACTTATTTCCGTACAGTAAAATGTAGAATTCTACGGATCGGTGCTGCATTTATTCACATTTTAGCAATTCACTAACAGGAGGCAGCATCTCCCGGGTCGTTTTATTCTCACTTTGACCAGGCAGATATTTTGCCTCCAGACGGCACCCTTAATGCTATTGTCAGGTACTTCAAAGGGTGGTCAAATAAGCTTAAGGTATTTAAAAGGTGCTCTATTGTGTGGGCCATAAATTACAGCTTACCGCCTCAGCTAATATTTTGGGTTGCCTAACTTACCAAAATTTGCCCAAAATGCTTTGCAGTTTTTTTACAATAACTAAAAGAAGTAAAATTTTAACAGAAAACGAAGAATGGCGCCTAAAGTAGAAAAAAATTCTCTATCACCTCGATATTTTTTAAAAGCACACCGAGTTATAGTTTTCACTAAAAATCCGCTGGGGTTTTACGCACTTTATTTTTTATTTTAAAAACTGCTACGTTTTTTAAAAAATACAAGACGCTTCCTTAAAGATTTTTATGTTATGAGCACGCACATGTATCGCCCTGCTCTTCAACTGTTAAAATAAAGGCGCAAAATGGGTTGGCGTTTAGCCTTATTTTGGCATCTTTTAATGACTGTGTGGCGGAGCCTTAAATCTCCAATTTGCACCACCGATTTAATGGGAAATGATGTCAACTGTTGAAAAATGTATCTTTTGTTTACATCTTAAATATCAAAAAAAAATATCAATTTTAAGAGAACAGATAGGACTGTCTCTCAGCAAGTATTAACAAAGTCCTCAAAAAACTGATTTATTGAAAATATTAAAGTTGAAAGAAAAACACGAAAAAATACAAGCGAAATAGATACAAGGAATACACCAACGACACGAAATCTTAAGTTGAAATGATGTCACACCATGTGTACGACAACCAATTTCAGTTTAAAATTTAAGTTGCGTATATCCGACCGGGTGCAGGGTTCTCGGCAAACATCCCTTGACCAATAGTATTGCAGCTCGAAAAAATCACGTGAAGATCACACACTTTTAGAAAAAGCATTGCTTTTAATGAGATCTATTACCGGTTAAAAAATTTTGATGAATTTAAGAATAACCTTGTATAACAAAATTTCTAGATTTATCAAACGATTTTGATAGTTTCACAAAATATATTACTCGAAAAATTAAATACTATAAATTCAGTAAGATAGCATCTAATTAATAGGTTATAAATAAGTAATAGACATCAGAAATTAAGAAACAGTGGCATAGATTCAGATACTCTGCAATGTCACATATGGAGTGTTACAAAGTTCCATATTAGGGTCTCTGTTACTTTTACTTTACATAAATATATGTATAAAATAAATAAAATAACCATATACTTAAAAAAAAAACTTAAAGCGGGTAATTTTAAAACTTGTTTTGTTACTATTATATATTTCACTATTCTTTTTTTGTTTCAGAGTGCAGCTGATCTGCCATCACTTGAGATTGTACACTGGGCTGACGGTCTTCTGTTTGTGTATTCTATCACAAATCGCGAATCCTTTACCTACCTGAAACGTATTGGATCCTTGATATCAGACTCTGACATTCCTATATATATCGTTGCGAATAAGTGCGACATGGTTCATTTAAGAGAAGTTAGTACAGAAGAAGGTGCCATATTAGCTAGAGACTTTGAATGTGGATTTTCTGAAGTGACTGCCGCCGAACAAGTGGCGCCAGTTGCAGTTGTATTTCAAGAAATATGCAGAGCAGTTTTAGCGGCTCGACGGAAATCTAAACATTCACTGCTCGAGCGAATGTTAGGTTCGAGAAGCAGTAATTTAAAACTTTACGTTAGAGGTAAAAGTGACAGTGCACTACCTAAAGATTGATAAATCAGTCACAATGTCACAAAGGTTAGTGTGAAAAGCATTTCGATCAAAGTGAGTGGAACAAATTTTTTATTTACAAAATGGTTATTGTTGCGTGTATAGTTTTTCACCTATGCTTTCTTTCTAGTTTTTACAACTATATTTTCAACTACGTTTTATTGAAACGACAAACGAAACTGAGAGGTGAAATTACATAAAATAATTGTTCATTATTGACCCAAATAAACATAACATTAACTGATACCTTTTCATTTATTTTTCGTTTGAAAATAACTACAATAGCTAGAGTGGTTTCAAGATCTCGTGGCGGACGAGATGCGCGATGCGGAGTCTAGTACAGGCGGTCGGTAGTGCTCGGTTAAAGCGATCGGCTGCAACACGGTCCTAAATACGTTGACCATGTTCGCTAAACCCAAACGTTTAGGTATTAGTACGCATTTTTATTAATCATGATAAATCGTTCGTTATTTCAAAAAATTGACAATCTTCCCAACATGTGGGAGTGTGAATTGTCCTTTAATTAGTTTTGCTAATGTAAACTTGGTTCACGTTTCATTAACCTTTTCAAGGTCACACATTTATATTTTTAGCAGTGTGACTGTGACTTCTCTTTTTCTTCCCCTGGCTACGTATGGTACAAGAAGACTTTTTGTATCATGTGTGTACGTAACCATCAAGGGTCAATTTGGTAACCATGTCAGGCATGTTTGGAACTGCCAAATGAAGTCATGTTTGGAAAAAATATTTTTTGGTGTTACCTACTTCACCATATTGTTCCTTCAAGTAAGAAATCTCCAATGTTAAATAGAGTCAGAAATCTTCTTTGTCTACCAGTTCATCTGAGTTTATTGTGGGCACTGCCCAAGCATTGATTTATGAAGGTGATATTCTACGAATAATTCGCATTGTGTTGCTAATTTCTTGTAACTTTTAAAGTTATAAAACAACAACAAACAAGTTAACCCGTGATTGTGTTTCTAATTTAACTCAACTGGAGTTTAAAAAAGTGAGAATATGAGTTTGGGATTAGTTATGGGTAGAGACCTAATTTTATGAAATTTGCATATCCGTTATTTTTTGCATATAAGTCTTGATATTTAATATGTGAACGAATCATGCTCATTAAAAACGAATATAGCTCTAAAAAAAATGCATATTTGCATATATTTGCCTTGCTGCATATTTCACGTAATGGGTGCATATTTTGCATTTTTATCAATTTTTGTGCTATTTAAAAAAAAAGTTTGTCATTCTATCGGCATTTATCTAGAAAGACGAAATTTCATGAATCATATTGCAAATATTGTCTTGAGCTTAATTAGTATCTAATTAAATAAACTGCTACCACTTTTGCTCTCGTTTTTGTTTTAATACTACTTAATGTACAACCTTACCCAATTCCGCAAATCATGTTGGGTCCAGTTCAAGAAATGTTGTGAAGAGAGAAGTTAATCCTTTTGATGCTGTTAGCAATTTGTTGAAAGACTACGTTTTTAATCTCAGTCTTCAGATCAAGATTATAGGGGAACCGCTTTTAAAGTGCTGTGTAATACAATAGCGAGAATACTACAAGAAAAGTATTTGATTTTTTTAAATTTATTGTAAGAAGAAGAAATACAGGAGAGGCTAAAAGAAAAATTGTACAAGCAAATATAACAGAGCGGAAGCTTAGCTCAGTGGCTTTAAATGATAAAGAATATTTGAATATGACAAACTTATGGGACGAAGCGACCTGTGAAGGTTTACAGTATAATTTTTTTTATATTGCGGCTCGAGAACTAGTCTGGAAGGGAAATGAAGCTGGTAGTCCTCTGGTAAGCTTTTTTCGAGATGAAGCTGAAAAGGGTGGTGAACTTTCAGGCCAATTAGAATACAATCCAGTGTTCTCAAAGAATCGTCAAGGAAGCTCTCATTTGCTAAACGACAGTAAGTGGTTAATTTCGAATAAAGAATCACCGGACATATGTCACGTAGGTAATTTGCTTAAAAAAATTATTTTAAAAAATTTCTAGGAGTAATTAAAAAAAAATATTTGCTTTCAGATTATTTAAAAAACTTTTATTAAAAATAGGTGATCAGATCAAAAAAAATAAGACTCTTTCTTAGCGTCACAAGAATGCAGAATGGCTCAAAAATTCTCCAGTGGGAAAATACGTTAAATACATGGTTGAAATTAGGTGCTCAAAAAACAATACTTGGCACAAAAAAACCTAAAATCACTAATCAAGTAATCACTTGTTGTTCATGAGCTGTAACCATTCTGTCAAAATCTGGCATAGGAAAGCAAGAAGTAATTAAAATTACAAGACATAATTCAGGACTCCAGGAGCATCTCTGAAACAATACTTGCTACTTGATCGGGATCATAATGAGCAATTAAGGAAATACTGCAGAACTAGCAATAATAATTATATGAAAGTATCACCGGAATCGTGGTCACTAAGTAGTTCCTAGTGCTGCAAGTATAGATACCAATAAGACTGTTTATAACAATTGTATTTTTACAATAATTAGAATAAATCATTTCTTAAATGTTGTACTTTGAAAGCAGTGCGGAATTTTCCAGTGATACTTCCACGTAGAATTTCCACTTAAAATTTCACACGTGGAATTTCCAGAGATAAATTATCGTGGTTGGTTGAGTTCGGAAAAATGAGTGGTCGAATTAATAGAGAGTTAAATTTTCATAAATAAAATAAAATTCGTAAAATCAAATTTATAATTTTTCGTATAGTGTTTTTTCATTTGGTCTTAGAGCTGCTCTGGGCTTTTGTACAGCCATGACCACGTACTGTTTTTATTATACCGGCACAAAACCCCAAACCCAGATACACAAACACCCAGAGACGAGGCGGGAATCGAACACGCGATCCACGGCAATTTTGAAAATTTTGCACTCCAGAATAATCGGCTATTGAAGGCTAAATTATGAATAAATATAAATAAAGCAGATCCAGCAGAAATCTACAAGCTAGCTACTTCACTTTGCCCATTGGTTATACATATGTCACTAGAAAAACTTTGTTCATGACGCCTTTCCTCACTGCACACTACTTACTTTCATCAATATTTTGATTGAATAAAATTTCGACGATAAGGTAATTTGAGTCATAAGAACAAACAATTTAATAGAAGTGGATGTGTTTGATATTAAAAATGCAGCACTCATTAAAATTTTTTATTCAAATAAAAACGCCAAACAGTATATACCTACGCAATACGTAGTTAATAAATAATTGGAATGTTTCAAATATAGTACATACAACTCTTTCTTATCATTTAGAATATTCAATAGTGAGCAATAGTCGCTCGCAGTGCGGGTGAGGGAGTGCACGGAGCCCGAGCCCTCCATGGAGTCCGCGCACCCCCTGCCCTCAACGAGCCCGCCGTCACTGACACCGGCAAATTCTTTCTATTCGGCTACTGTGAATTATGTTGGCGATCGCAAGTTTTCTTAATCATGGTAGTGCATGTTAGCTCATCCAAAATTCGTCGTCAGTTTCCGGTGCGCTCGCTGGTGGGTGCAGGATGCGGTGTCGATTTCATAAGAAGGAAGTTTACTCTGTTAAATATTGCTCCGTAACTTCAGACTCTTGCTCTGTGCTGTGTGCTACAAGTCATTAAAATACTGAAGTGATGGTACGGTGTACGTTGTCGGGGAAATGTTACGGTCCGTTTAATTTTATGTACAGTTGCGCGCTTGCAAAAAAGATGATGCTCCGGGTGTCGATCCTCAGAGACGACGTCCAGAACATTATCAAATATATAAACTTCGTCTGTCCGATCGATCGTGTTTCCCTTCTGTACTAACGCGCTCGCATTTCATGCTAGTTGCATATATATTTTTAATTAATATATATCATGGTTCTATTTTGTGTATATATATAATATATATATATATATCATATTATGTACAGTCAGTGTCATCTATGTATCAAGTTGACTACGAGCGCGTATCCTACCTAATTTTTCTTTTGTATATATAATTATAATTATTTTACATTTTTAGAATTTCGTTTCGCCGTTTACTTCTAACGGCTTTTGCATAGTATATGCGTGGATCCCTGAAGGAGGCAACCTCCCATTTGGGGTGCGGGTAAAATGCGTGCGGACTACCCTAATGTAACAGTTGGGCTCTGTGCAAAAAATGTAAAAAATGAACAATTCTTAGATGTATATACAAAAATAAATTAAATCTCTTGCAAATCAACAATATCTATACTAAACGCGACTAGATGTAACGACTAGATATTAACTACAATTAAATAAATTCTTTGCTGATACAACTTATGTACGTAATAACATATGGTAAATATTACTCTGGTAACTACTCAAATATCGTTTTAACAACGGAAATATACGTAAATTTAAATAGTTTGTTTTTTAATATGATGTGACCATGAATTACGATGATTAGGTAGCGGAAATGCACCGTTGTGGGGACTATATACATGTCTCGCTGTTAAACCTACGCGAGTACAAATGTATAGTCGTCGATATCTCTACTGAAATGGATCCACTTGTATGTACTTTTCAATTAGTTTGTCCTGGTATTAAAAATTTTGGAATGTTTATCAACTCTAGTCAACACTTGTTTACTTGTCTTCTTCAAGTAACACTAAATCGTCCGCTACTACATCAGAGATGTGTAGATAAATAATCCAGTACATCAAGTTAAAACACACGAAGCACACGGGGAACACGATTCGCGAATACTTATCGATGTCTGAGGGCGTTATGCCATACAACTTGTTGATGTCTTTGTTGGGATGGATTATGTGTTGCGGAATTGGGGCGGCCGCTTCTTCGTCTGGTCCACCCCCTCCACCGCGGCCACCATTGACCGTACTTTCTAAAGTACCACCTTTGCTGTGTGCTTTTGGATCGTGAACTTTAAATCGCACCTCCTGAAACAAAGTTCAACACTAACAAGACATTCTACCCCTATTGAGTTTGTCCATCTTACATGTCCTATTGGCCGACTACTGACTGTTTGTTTCGGCGCGTGATCACTGTCGGGTCCCCCATCTACATTTAATTTTTTTTGTTCTGCGATCTTCTGAATTGCCAAAAAACGGTTCTTTCTCATTTGTATTCGCTTCGCCATATAACCAACCGTAGCGTATTCTAAAAATGTCACCATGTTTAGTTTTACGCCCTGCATGATCATCACTAAAAGTATAAAACCATTAAATTGGTTTTACACATTTTACAAATTTCAAAAAAAACACTGTTCGTTGTTGCCTGTTTCAGGCAATGGAATTGAAATTGTTGGCATTTACATGAGTCATGGTGCGTAACTCTGACAATGGAAAAGTTTATAAATATGAAACGCAGTTGTCACAAGCAAGAAAGGCAAAGGTAAATCTTTACAATTTAATAAATCACAAATCGTTCTGGCTAAGTAGCTGTGAGTGGCGAAATTCTAAGCATAAAAACAAGTTAATGTTTGATCGTTACAACGGAACACAGAATATTTAAATGCATGTACCATTATTTGGTGAACTGTAGGGGTTCAGAGGGTGCTGGCATTGTTTTTAAAGCAATTAAATAAATTCGAAAAAAAAAGAAACATCATTTTAGTGTTATAAATTAAAATCTTGAGGAAAACCAAATTCTTTTTAAAATCGAAGAATAAAAATATATTGGAAAAGATGTGGTTCGTAGCCAGATGTTTATAGAATCTAAAATTGTCCAACATAAAAATGATCAAATTTTTGATAGTGTCATATAATAATTTTAGCTTATAAAATATTATATGTATCTTATATGTAACACAATATAAATTCTGTTTCCGCAAAGAGTTGTTGTGGCTTTATTGAACGATTTCAGAAACTATATCATTCGGTACCTCATCAATACATCAATAACAATAATATCCACCATCACTGCAATTTGTTAATATGCATGTATGTGATCAACGGTTCATGTTTCATACATAACAGGACTGAAAAGTCGATAAAGTGGATTTACGGACAGTAAATTTGAAAATAGGTACCTAGTATGTTCTTGCTATTTACAAAATTTTTATAAGTTATTGATTCTGAATTTTAAGAAATAAATTATAAATAACTGTGTCGATTACGTAGATTAGGTCGCGGACTAGAAATGCACCGCAATTCCGACAGGCCGGTTGTATTAGTTTTGAACTAATTTCATTATGAGTTGAGAAAACATGGCTCGTAGTTAACATACTATTTTCTTGCATAGTATTGTAACAGTCAAAATGGACTACACATTTTGTTATAATTATAAGGCCTACAGGTCTTTTATGAATGATTCTAACATTTAAATGGACACTAATTTGTTCCAGTCCTTCGGAGTGTTTTTAACGGTAACGGCAACGAAAGTTCCAATTTTATAATAATTCTAGCATATGACGTATTAGCCATTTTAATTATTAAAACTTTAAAAACGTCTACGATTACTAGGTAGTGGTAAAACTGCAACATTTTAAAATTATGCAGACCTCAAATAATATTAATACACGGGGATATTCTCTTAGCTCTGAATATATGAAAGTAAGTATGGGCCTAATCCCTATGTTTACTTTTAAAAAACACACATCAGTGCATTGGAAGTATGTAACGAAAATACATAAACTTGATTTTTTAAAACACGAAATTCCAAAGTAGGTACATAGTTGGAATAAAGTTAATGAAGACATTGGGTTTTGTTCTATTTGATTCGTGATGTTTATATTCGGTGTATCGAGTATTGTTTATATTTTAATAAAATAGTTTATGATAATAATTCAAACAGGTTAACATTTTAGTGTTTTTTAACTTCCAGAGCATATGTCAATGAAGTATTGTATTCGAGTCCATTAGGCGAATCGCTACTTTTATGTTTTTTCTACCATTAGAATACGAAAACATAATAAAGTATTGTATAGTATATTCAAGTGAAAGAGTCAGCAATAAAGACGCGTGAGCAGCCTGTGTTCAACTGCTTATTGGTCAACAAATTTGGGGGAGGGTTTTTCTCAAACCAGGTTTACACTATACCGATATTTCGTTGTCGGTGCGTTTCATTGTTGACTCATCCCTTGCATCGTGTCGTCTTCTTGCTTTCGTCCTTTTTGTTTTTACTTGTTTTTATACTTGTAAGTGTCATTATGTCGGATATTGGAAATATTATTTTGTCAAAATCAGAACTTAAAATTTCCCTACATTGTAACACGGGCTAGGCGCAGTAATCTTACGCGCACTCGGCCCCAAAACGCATCATGCAGGTTTCACGTGATCACTGACCCTTTCGTTTGAACAGAGTATAATAGAGTACATCGGACGACTGGCTACTTTAATGTTTTCTCGACGTTTCATGACTCCTAGGTCTCCTATGTCGTATGTGTGTATTCATTTTTATTAGACATAAATCTCCAAAATTACTGGACTGATTGTTGTAAAATATAGGTACTCTTACTGTTCTGGTTTATGAATCGGCTTTGCGTTTCAGTCACAATTACTTGACTTTGCGTCAGAAGCATCATTAGTTTAAAGTCGATGGCTACTTGACAATAATAAATTATGCTTTTAAATTTTTCTTTAGATTTCTTTTCCTTTAATTTATGTAATTTATGTATTATTGTGTATCTATTTATGTGCGAAATTATCTGTAACTACACCTGTAATGTCAAACAACATTTGTATTTAGAATTATATTCACTCAGGTACATATTATCCTGTAAACGGACCAGCGTCTGTTGGATAATAAACATTTATTATTATTATTAATATTATTATAACCAATACCTCGCGTACGTGCGAGACAAAAGGATCGTGCGAGTTAATATTCTGGATTTGAATAACTTGAAACTTCCCGCTGAGTTCGAATCCCATTTTGGTTGTGAATGTTTCACTTTGGATGCGGGGGAAATACTGTTTAAATAATTTTGGACCAATTTTTTTAATTCTGATGTTGATAATGTATTTTTGTAATAACCAAGTTAAAAAAGGTACGCTCTTAAAAATCAACTGGTGAGTCTGGGAAAAATAATAAAAAAATCCTCAGATTTTGGTGGAGTTATAATGATTTTAAAATTGGTTCTTTTGCTACGTTTAACAACTAAACAACTCATTCATTATCATAATAACTAGTAATATTATATAATAATATTACTATAATTAGTTAATATTTTTCTCACATATGACCACGTTTAATTACCATTTCAGTTAGAATGCACAAAGATATATTCATTGTGTTGTTTTTGTAATAATTTGATAAAATTCCATTTGACAACAATGTTTGCCCGATATAAAGCGAAGGTGGATTTCAGTCACCATCGTTACTAAGAAATCAAAAAGTAAGCCGGAGGTATTCACGCATTAGGTGTGTGCAGTGTTGCCAATTTTATTTTTATAAAATAACGTTTTTTTCGTAATCTACATCATAAAGAATGTTTTTATTATTTTTTTGGGTCTCCCGAAACCCCCGTATATAACGTACTGAAGGGTTAATCCGCCATTTTCCAGACACTCGGTATAGTGCTATCTGAGCAATATGTGTAGTGTTTAAAATGTTGATGTTTATACATCGGAAGAATGCCACATAGACATTTGTTTGATTTAAATGAGTTTATCGCCTCAAAGTAGATTATTAAAATTATTCATAATCCTAATATTCTGAATGTTGTTATTATAGTTCTTAGCGTATCGTTATTTTATTGTTATAAAGACGAGCGTATTCACACATTTTCCAGAAAATGGGGTGGCTCGTTCTTATTTGATCAATATTAAATTGATTGATTCATTAATTTCTTTAATCACCCTGTATAAGCAAATCTAAAAAGATGAATACAGGGATAATGATAAGTATTGTCTCATCATATTTTGCACATTTTCGAAAGGATTTATTCGGCAAAATTTTGAGATAACGTAATGAATTTTTTGGGCTTGATAAACAGATACATTTTGTTTAAAAAGTTACCATGCTTACAATAAGTTCAAAACGTCTGCAAGATTTCAAAGTATTCAGTTTTGCAATTCTTGATTTAGTCAAAAAAATAAATTGACTCAGTCATTAATTTTTTTGAGACACCCTGTATAAGCAAATCTAAAAAAATATTAATGCAATGATAAATCACAAATATTGACTCATCATACTTTGCACATTTAAGATAGGATTTATTCAGCAATATTTTGAGGTGGCGTCATCAATTTTTTAGGGGGGATGAGCAAATACATTGTGATCAACCATTTACGATGCTTATCATAACTTTAAGACATCTCAAAGATTTCAAAACATTCGGTTTTGTAGTTCAATAAAATAAATTCAGGTATTCATAAATTTTTTTGGGTCACCCCCTATATCTAATCCAAAAAATATGAATGCAACGATAAATTACAAGTACAGATTTATCATATTTTGCACAATTTAGATAGGATCTATTCGGTAAAATTTTGAGCTGTCGTCATCAATTTTTTAGAGGGGATAAGCAAATGTATTTTGCTTAAAAATTTGTCATGTTTATCATAACTTTAAAGCATCTGCAAGATTTCAAAGCATTCGGTTTTGCAGATTCAAAATTAAATTGCAAAATGTTATTTTATAATTGTGATTTTTGTTCCAAAAATCTGGACGTTTAGGGTAAAAACTCATCACGGCGTCATAAACTACATGTGTAGGACTATGCTATTTTATGCAGTTTAAAACCAATTTACTATGATGTACAATTTTGAAGTGACAAAGGGCCGGTTGCATAAACGCTAATCAGATTTAATCTCTGATTAAGAACAGTTGCATAAACGCTAATCAGATTTAATCTCTGATTAAGAACAATTGTAACTATGATAATAACAATCGTTACTATGGAGTTAATCAGAGATTAAATTTGATTTGCGTTTATGCAACCAACCCGTACCGTTTTAACATATACATTCCTAATATGTATAAATACAAAATTTGACAACAATCGGCCCAGCTGTTTCGGAGGTTATCTGTCTAATGAAAATCCGGGACGGCAGACAGACGGACAGACAGACAGACAGACAGACGGACACGGGAGACCTATTTCTTCGTACTGTAGGTGTCATGAAAGGTCGAGAAAACGTAAAAGTAGAGAGTCGGCCGACGGACTCGATTGCAGTGTAAAAAATGCGTACTATTAATGTTACAACAAAGACAGGTTTTATACATGGAATCATCATTCAAATTAAATTATTATCAGAAAATCGATTTAAAAATGAGATACAGTTGAAACACAGAATTAAATTCACAGAAATATTTCTGTTGTTGTCTTATTATTAAGTCATTATTTTTATCTTAACTAAATCTGTAGATGTAATACAGGATGCGACTGCAATATTGCAAAAACATACTGGAAATAAGAACTAGTAATCATAATAAGAAAGTGGCTTCGTATTTTGCTTCCCATAAATATTTTTTTATGTAAATGCTTAAAATATTTTTGTGTTAATTACGTTGATTCAGCAATTTTTAAACTCGTTATGACATATGAATTTTGAACTTATTTATGTATGTGCTGTAAATGAGTATACTTATATGTTTTGTAGGTACGAAATTACCCAATTAATTTAGTAATTAAGTATATCAAATCTGAATTGCACGTAGCTATGAATCTGCATTTGATAAAACCCAGAACTACGTTAGTTCGAAGAAACTCAAACATAGGATTATATATTAAATTATTTCTCTGCTATATAAATAAGTAGAAAGACTTAAGTATAATATTTAACATTGAAACGTACACAGCGTACACTGTAGACTGTAGACATCAACCTTTTAACGTTAAAACGCCCATGAAACAGGTCATTTGAAATTTAAAATACGCTTGCTTGGATAATTGGATATATATCACCAAGTTTGTAAACCATATATTTTTGAGCACGAAGTTGATTTTTTTCCAGCATGATAATATACAAATATACCTACACCTCGTATGAAAAACTCCAAATCACGGATCAATACTCAGAACTAAAAAACAAAAAAAAAGCTATTAAATCAAATGTAACAACATAAAATAATGTACCCAACAGTAACATAATGTGAACATTTTTCTGTTCTATTACATTTCAGCTCTGCAAAATTTGCATGAAATTAATCGTCGTCTATTACATTTCTGTTACAAAGGGTACGTAAAAATAGCACTAAATTTGCAGTAATGTAGACAATAAGTAAGTAGATAACTAAAGTTTTAAAAAAAATGTAAGTAGAAGTTTAGGTGTTATTAAATTTCAAGATGAACAAAAATCACATGTAAATGTTTGGTCGAAGTTTCTCCCTTAAAATTCCACGCATTTTTCGTATGTCCATTTTGAGTATTTTTGGCAGAGAACAATTGATATGTGTTTCGAGGCAAAAAAACGTTCATATTAATCTGAAATTGTTTTCTGTTTATATGCTGACTTTAAAGTTTTTATAACATTTTCCCGATTATAATTCTTATTCTTCTTATGCATTATTCCTTGTACATTTTGTACTTTAGTTGTTGTAAACACTTCTTCACTGGCTTCTTAACCTTTTTTTCCTTATTTTTTTTCTTGCTTGTTTTTGGTTTGAATTCTTCGAAATCTCTTTTGTTAGAATTAGAAGTTAAAAACATTGCTTTCCGCATTCCTTTACTGTTTTATTTGTAACTTTTTTGCCTCCTGTTGACACTGGTCTTATTATTACTTACAAATTGGTGTAACCCATATCTTTTATAGTTTTCTTATAATCTTTTGAGGTCAGTCTAGCCATTTCAAGGTACATTACCTTTCACCCTGGATTATTCTGCTTCCACTTCGTCATGGCTCGATTACAAAACATCGCAAGGAGATTAAAGATAGCAGTAGTTCAATGGCTGTACGCGGGCAGCAAAAATATAAATTACTTTTTGAAGATTCATCTCCTGTTCAAGTACAGATGATCTGGAATTATGTTTTACCGTCTCTTGAACGTGTGGAGTAAAAGGTAGTTTTATTACAACATGTCCCAATTTTTTATTGATAAATTAGTCCTGTTTAGGTATAACAAACTAAAAGAGGTTGTTAGATAACTATAGGTTAAGTGTCAAAAACTCACCGAGGATGTAAAATATGACACGGTTTGTGATAGTGTGAATAAAATTATAATACTTAATCATTTTAACCGTCACTATGTTATTATACTGATTCTTGATTTTCAATAATAGTTATTTATATAAGGTAGATAATTGCCATGTTATGAGTGAATGAGAATTTAGAGTCCTGAGTATGTTAGAGCAGAAGATACTGATCTCACGAGCTTATACCTAATGGTATTTCGCTCACTTATGGTATACAACGTTTTATCTTCCGGTAGCAGCTTTTACATAAAATCGAGAATAAAAAAGATCCAATGAATGTATATTGGTTGTATCCATAGTTACATTACATTATACCTAGTCACTAGTGCTCATTTTACCTATAATGTTGAATTTTTGTCTCGTGAAACAACTGTTTCATGACTGCAACTGCATCAACTACATATTACAGTAACTCGTGTGATTACAGATGACTGTGCTTCTATTCCACTAAGATAAATAACTATTTCAATTCATACGAAATTCAAACTAAGTCTATTTTGCCAATGACATAAGCTAAGTAAATAATTGAACTAAAATCACAAATTTTTGTATGTGTTGCTATGAATGAACACAATACTTCTTAAAAATAAGTGGTTGTCTACTACTAATAGAATGTTTCTACTTTTATTGAAATTCCGATGACGGTACAAATCATTACAGTATAAAATGTAATCACAAACGTGATTTGCAAGTTTGCTAACGCAATAAATTGAAAGCATATTAAAATCGTCAAAGCACACAATGAAAAATTTTCACTATAAATTAGGAGCACTTACTTAGCCAGATACGACTATAAATTACAAATTAATTAGAATGTTAACGTAGGGTGTATGTGTAACTACCAATAATAATATCGTTTACACCTTACAAAATAAGTCACCATGTTATTATTTTAGATATGTATGTAAATTAAAACAAATATCTTACCTAACAAACTCGCGAAGACCATTACGAAACAAGTTCCCAAATATACATCGATGGATTTCACATAGGAGATTTTAGGGAGAGCGGCGTTTGTTGAAGACATTAGTGTTGTCATGGTCAATACAGTGGTAACACCCAAGGCGACTCTTGCAGGGGTGGCGTTACGATTTAACCAAAAGCTTACCCATGAGATGATGACGATGAGACCGGACGGGATGTAGATTTGAATGAGGTAGTAACCCATAGAACGAACGAATTGGATTTCACATGCTAGTCGTGAGTAATTTCCTGCCCACAACAATTAAGTATAAGTATCTACTAAACAAAATTATGTTCACAAATGTTTTTGTAGTGATTTTGGTAAACATGCTAGGAATAGAAAATTGAAAACTAGAGGAATAATGTAGTTTAAATTATTGTTAAAAATCCGTTAATGGTTTCAGTTTGTCACTTAAGTTCGTTAAAAATGTCAGTATGTAACAATTGGATATGCAAAACATGCTATTTACTTTGACGGAAATAAAAGTGAGCGACTACATAGGTACATGGATTGATGATCATTTCGAGAACAGTAAAGAAAAAATGCAGTTGATCTACTGTTTTACCATTCCCAGGTTAGGTACCTGTGGTGAGGCTGATCTCCATGGCTCTTTGTCTGTGCCCGAGCACCTTAAACTGGGGAAGCGATACTTCATTGGAAACGCCCACTGAGTTGGGGCCTTCGTTCCATTTGTACCGAATGTCTCGCATGGTGTAACCGACTGCAATCACAAGCCAGTGCCAGCTGCGGGTAGGCAACGCACCGCAGCCGAATTGAACGAAAACGGGGTGTAAAAACTAACATAAAGAGGAAGGAAGCAAAAGGAGAATGGGTGATTGTGGTTACCTGTGGTCAGGTTAATTACGGTCGCCCTCTGCCTATGACCCAGCACCCGGAACTGTGGCAGCTCCACTTCGTTGCTTATTCCGACGCTCTTTACTCCCGAGTTCCATTTATATCGGATATCTCTCATTGTGTACCCGACTAACCCGGCCGCCAGAACAGACAAAGCACGTCATTCGACAGCTCGGATGCAGTTTGCACCCCCAAGACATAATAAATACACCTCTTGGGGGAACATGCCATTGTGGTGAGCGAGCCATGCTACATTTCTTTTACTTTTTTGCCTTTAACTGGGTAACTGTAGCAGGCCACCCTTGACTAAGTGAGCACTACATGAATGATTTACAAAACTACATTATCATGTACATGGATGAACGATTCAGTGTTCGGCTGTAAGACAAACAAAAAGACAATATCTGAAAAGCTGAATAAGTTAAGCGCAAGCATGTGCAAAGCATGTTGTGTAGTTTTTGGTGGATTAGATTGAGAACAGAGTGATGTGACAGATCATGCGGGTGCATGTGTGACTGTCGGCCGGGAGTCGGGCCAGTGGTTGTAGCACAATGCGGCCGAAGCCGCCGGTCTGTCCGTGAGTCCGGTGAGTGACGGCTGTCCGGGCGCCGCCACGGTGCAGAGCGGTGAGCAGGCCGTACTGCTGTTGTTGCTCACGACACGAACACTATCGGTCCTTCCGCGGGTGCTGTATTCGAGAAGGAGACCGCAACCAACCACAACATACAACTCAGAAAAAACAAAACATAAGGAAACGCAAACATCAGGATTGCGGCTGCGGGGCCTGGTTAGTTAGTATCCTTCCAACTCACAAGGCCACTGCGTGTTTGCTCGGCTCAAGAGTTATCTGTGTGCTAGGTGCCATGTGTGTGCCCGAAGCACCGCATTATGCGCGGTAACTGTATGGTGCTGGGATTAAGAAATCAAATTGTGGGCTTATGCACAAAAGCACGACACAGGTATCTTTTGATGCCCTTTTAGTTATTAATAAAGTAGTAACTATGGTAATCTATAATTTAACAATATCTATGAATAGAATTTACACATTTTTTTTGCAAAATTTGTACACTGTTAAAACAATACTTACAACTTTCTATTTCTATGTGGCAAAGTTGTCGATCCATCGGGAAATATTGAAGATTCATGGGACAAGATGCCGTAATTGTCAACCTGTAACACAATGAACTGATGGATACTGATCACTGAATTATCGATAAAATTAACTTACCGGATACTACGTGTAATTGATCCAGAATGATGTATTCTGATAAATTCATTTGAAGTTGTTGCAATGTGGAAGTATGACTGTTTCTCATTTACAAAAAAAGTATCCGGTACCCATATGTTCTTGATAAATTCGGATCCAACAGATAAGGTTTCTACTCCGGGTCGTTTTCGAAATGCCAGGCGTGGATCTGTCCAAAACTGACGAAAGTAGAAGTCCAGAGTAAAATCCTAATAAAACAATTATTATTGGTACTTTTTTGTGATGTCTTATTGTATTCATGCAAAAACTATAATAAAAAAAATCAATATTTTACTTTTGAAAAAATGGTTAAAAGCACAAAATAAAATATCGATTTAATCGGACAGTATTTCACTAGCAGTGTATGACGATTGCGAAAGAACTGTTGTATGTGGACATGCATGTATTTTTTTTAATTTTACCTCTTTAATCTAGAACAAAAGCATCAAGCTCATTCTCAGCATGCAACATGTTTAGTTACGTGAAACATCTACGATTTGTGAAAGTTTTTAAAAATGTTAGGCAGGGTGTCGTCGTTTGGCTGATTTCCAAAGGCGCAATGCGTCTGAATTGTGTCGTTAGATACTTATTAGGCACTGCATGCAAATATGTCGTCGAATTATAGGAAAAATCGTAGGGTAGGACTGTTAAGAAGGTCTTCGAAGGAGAGTTTAAGTTTGACATGCAGCATGCCGACACTCAGGCGGTTACTTATCTGCGTCCCGAGTGCACTGTGCAGGCCAGGAGAGGAGAGGCGGGGTGGACTCGCGCGCTCGACAGAGATGTCGGAAAGGGGCAGGCCAGGGTCACGTCCTGCTGTGACCTTTAACCTTGATTTGGTTTCCATCGGGGTCTCAGGCCCGACTCCTCGGAGGAGTGGTCGGCGCTCCACCGGGGCGCGGCCTTTCAAAACATCTATCCGATTGCGCCCGGGCGCAACGACTAAAGCTGGCAAACAGACTTAGAGGCCATGCACACAGTCCAAGTATTCAAGACTGCGACATACACACAGACATACATTCTCATTTCCGGAAGCTCTGCCCGGATTTTACAAGACCTTGATAATCAAGACTGATAAGTTGCAATACACGTACATATTAATGCGAGTTAATACGATAAGTACTGATAAGATAGATACAATGCGTTACGATAAAATGCTTTCTGGAACACCGAGTGTTAATAAGATGCCGTATAAGTGAAATGATAGTAGAAAGTAAGTACCATCAAGACTTCGGAGACGGAGCTGATACTGAGCACGTACATGGTGACTCCCACCTCCACGGGCGGGCCTGTAACCGCAAAGATTCTGAGTCGCGACATGAAAACCAAATCAAACTCGTGCCCTAGGCCTGCCCGCCTGCGGCCCCGCTCGATTCGCGCGCGTTCGAGCGGGACCGGGGACGGGACACACAACAAACAAAAGTCCGGCATTGATAGATACCATCTGGACCTCGGACAGCGAGCTGATGCTCAGCACGTACATTGTGACTCCCACCTCCACGGGAGGGCCTGCAAGCCAACAACCATCACATAACACCAACCCGCTTCCCCAGGCCGCCAAGCGCGCGAGTCAGGGAGCGGGCGTGCGGAAAGGCTCTGTCTGCTCGGGGATATAATAAACTTAGTACCATTTTGACTTCGGAAAGGGAGCTGATGCTCAACACGTACATGGTGACTCCTACTTCCACAGGAGGACCTGAAACCACCACCAATACCACGTCACAAGTGGCATTGAGTTCTGCCTGCGTCTCGAAACGGAGGAGCGACGGTCGTCGTACGAATGGACGACCTCGCACCGCCGTCCGTCCGCCTGCGCCCGGTCAGCGGCTGCGAGCAGAATGGCGGTCTGGAGAGATGCTGCGCGTCGCTAGGCAACCCACCCCGAGCATCGATCTGGCCCCACCCTGCCAACGCGACCCGCGCGACCGCCGCCGACCGCCCGGCTTTGCTTTGCTGTACCTTGCTTACGTTTACCATACCGTTTTTCTGTCATTCCGCTTCAATCGCGGCTGGGCGGTTGACGTCGCCGCTCCCCCTTATCGATACCACACCACAAGGATTTATTTCGCTCTTAACTTACCTCCATAATTTGGTCTTACTCTTTTGTCGTAGCTGACACTGAAGGAGTCTAAAATTGCCGATATGTTAACATCGCCTAGATAACTGCCTCCTGCTCCTGGCGACCTAAAAACGTATATAATTTCTACAATCAAAACTAAACGGCGCGAAACATTAATGCAATTTTCACAAGCCGTATTTGTCAATGTAGAACTCGTTGTAGACGTTAAAAAATGGTCTAACAATTTATAGTCAAATCGAAGGAAACGGGACAATTTGGTTTCTAACCGAATTTTTTATAGTTGATATAGTTCTAATCACTGTTTTTGTTTAAACTTTGTTATTTAGACATCGAAAAGAAAGTTTCCGAAACCATCTGAGCCTTTTTAATGATTACTTGCAGATAATATTCTGAAAATCTTTGCGGTAACTTCTTTGTTTTGAAATCAAACCAGAATAATATTGCCCTTCCTTTGGCGCCAGGACGCCGTGAAACAATGACGTCACAAAAGCTGTTCTCTGTATATTTCACAAATGTTTGTTTCTCATACATCTAAATTTTCTAAAATATCATTTAATCTAATTATACTGTTCTTGATGCATAGGTTGTGTATATATTAGTCTTCGTTAAAAATGTTTGCTTTATTGTTATAATAAAAAATGCCATTTTTGACAAAGATTCTTTGTTAATTCTATGTTGATATCAAAATTTTAATACAATACTTCCCTAAAGAATATTGCATATTATTAACACTTAAAAATATATATTATATACTTTTTTAAAACCATATGTTCAAATAAGTTTGATCATTTTTAATAATAATATTGAAATAAATCATTTGTTTAGTTCTTTACTACGACTAGCTATATTTTGAAACACACACCCATAACGGTAAAGGGGACTAAGCAACAATGAAGCAGCAGCTGGTGTATGACTTACCCAGCTGAAGCCCATGGTAGGGCGAAGGCCAGCAGCACGGCTGGCCACACCACCCGGCTGTGCCCCATGGCCTGGGGCACCTACACGTGTCCCCTGTTTCTCGGCATTTCGGCACTGTTCATTTGTAGACTACTGTAGTGTCACATCAGGCACCAACACTAGGAGTGGTCTCTGGGCCCAGCTAGCTGTTCACTCACTGCGCATGGTGGCGAAACTGTGCGAAATAATCGCAGCTCCTAGTCACAGAACTAATAAAATGCTTAGTTTTTCTTGCTCTAACTCAAAATGGTCGAGTGAGATGGAAGTTTAAGGGTTGCTATGTTTTAGGAACGCAGTCGCGGACCTGGAGCTGCCAGCACCTAACCAATCAATACCATCAGCTAAACCATGACTCTCATTATTGCTTTTACCCTGTGACGTAATTCTTACTATTTAGCACTGTAACATACAAGAAATTAAAATGTTATATATAAAAAAGTCTCATTTATTTTTGTTAAATAAAATTTTCTTTAGAGTCCCTTTGAGTTCGAAATTTGGTGTGTTTATAGTTATTCGTTGAGTTTACGGTCAAAAGGTTCTCAGCTGCACGCGACCGCTTCCGGTGACACCGTTGTCACGCAATTACCACAAACGCAAAAGAGCAAATTGCGTTTGGCCTAGAGTGCGCCTGGCACAGCGGCCTGCAGCGGTGTCCTGGTCACGGACACTGTTCTATTTTCCGATAACATCTTCACGCAAACATAACATACCAACAGTTTTCACTTTATCAATACGTAGTCTGATGGTTCGGTCGCAACATAATCAAGATCATATGCGCCACTGCCGTAAATGTGTTGTGAATACGACTAATTCCCTCCGGTAATGTAGACAAAAACAATTAATTAAATATGAGTTATCAGTCGTATAGTTTTTATAATGTTTTTATGCCTTATCTATAGTTAATATGTCGATTTATAGACTTATTGCTGTGGTATACTTAAGAAAATGTAAGATAACAGAAATTCATTAAATAGAAAAATATTTGACACATGCCGATATTGTGAATCTGACAAATCTGATTTACTCTCATTTTTTGGTATTTAAAAATAAATTAAAACAAAAGTACATGTACACATACCTATAAGTTATCTAAAAAGTTAGAATTTTATTCATAATAAAAGGAGACACAGAAAAATTCTAAATATTATAGCTAATAAATATAAAATAATATAATAACAATAACCATCGACATAATCATTGTTTTTGTTGGGTCCTAATGCTTCAAAGACAGAACCAAGATCTGTTGAAAGCTTTCAAAATGGTTTAATTATATATTTAATAATAATAAGAAGGAATCTTATTTGAATGCATTTCCATGTCAGTGGTGAGTCTAAAAAAATATAGGCTTATTGTGCAAATATTAAATGTTGTGCAGTTTAGCATTCTTTCATTACAGTACGACTTATTTAAAAATTGATCGAAGGTTATTCCTGCAGAACTTCCCTCGCCCTTGAAGTACAATACGACAAATCCAGCTCTTTAAAAATATATATAAAATTTGATTTTAAGATTTTTGTGTTGTGATAACCTCTGTTAAATAAAAACCAGCGGTGTAAATAAAACTGTCCTTCAGCACTAGGTAACAGCAATCTGAAGCTCAAGTGTTTATTTATTTTTATACATTGAAAGAATGTCATGTAGAAATTAGTTTGATTCAAAACAGAGGACTAAAATTATTAATTAAATCACAATCGAACAAAATGTTCTGAATGTTATAATTCTTATTTTATACAGGGTGTCTCAGAAATAAGTACATTAATTTTAACCAGTAACAGAACTCGTGAAACGGAACAACTTTTTTATCTAGCATTTTTTCGAAAACTCAAGTCGAATTTCAAATTTTCCCACCCATATATTCACGAGCCGTCTATGTTCACCTTAAATAATAAATTAAATAATAACAACACTACAACAATGAAGAAGGTACCCTAGCAACCGTTTTGACACTGACAATAATTTGTGAATGTTTTTATTAAACGTTGTCTCTTTAAAGTTTGTTTGGCACAGATTTCTAATTTATAGACGAAATATTTTGAAATGGCTTTGTTTTCAAATCTGGAATGCACCGATATCGTTTTAACGTACGGTGAAGCTCGGGGAAACGGCACTCGCGCCCAACGAATTTTTTCAGAAAACCTCCCAAATCGTCGTCTGCCAAATGTGCGCAGTTTTAAGTTGCAGCATTTTCGAGAGTACGGATCTTTTAAACCTGGATATCAGGATTGGGGTAAGTTACGTAGTAATAGAATTGCTAATATTGAAGAGGCTGTTTTGAAGAGTGTCGAAGCTCGACCGGGCACTAGCACGTATCACTGTCTAGTGTGATGTATCGGAGAGTAGTATTTGGAGGATACTCAGAGAACAAATGTACCCCTTTCAGGACCAGAAAGTTCAGTTATTGAAACTAACAGACTTACCACGTAGGCAAAACTTTTGTGAGTGGGTTAATAGAAAAATAAACGAACAAGCAAATTTTGTATCTCTTATACCATCAACTGATGAGGTCGGTTACACGAGGGAAGGTGTTCAACACCCACATTTGGGCCGATGAAATTCCGTACGCCATTAGGGAGCAGGATTTTCAATTTCTCTCTAAATGTTTGTCACATTGACAAGATTATGAAAATACGTATCCTAGTAACTGTTTTTGACCATAAATTATTATTAATTATAATAATAATTATTAGTGTCCATGGCTGACTGAGGATCCATGGGCGGGTAACCTTAATTGGCATATAACTTTAACAATTTTTAACTTGATAATTAAAAACTTCTTGACAAAACTCTACTAAAAAAAGTTGTTGAGTTCAATGAGCTCTATAACTGATTAAAATTAATGTACTTATTTCTGACACACCCTGTATAAAGACGTGCGTATTCTTACATTTTCGAGAGAATGGGGTGATGGTGGTTCTTAACTTGACCAATAAAAAATTTGCGATGACGTCATCAACGTAAATAATACTATAGTCATAACACAAAATAAAACTAACTAATTTTATGGTATATTTTTATTTACTAAACTATAATAAATTTGGATTTTCTATGTTGCCAGTAGCAATAATATCTGGTGTTCAACTGAAAAAATCAAGTTGGCCTTTTGTAAATATTATGACGTATGTCTACAATAAACCTAAAATTGAATCCATAACAGCTGACAACGCTGAAATGTAACAGTATGGACTAATAAAACATAAGCGTTTTCGCTACGTTTCCTTCTATCAAAAAGGCAACCCCAGCTGTTGGGCTAGTTGCATGAATTTCAGTTTTGTCACAAACATAAGTAAGAAGCCATTGTAATTAATTTGGCGAAAAAAAAAATTGTTTTTCGTACATATACCTGTAACTTACTATAATATATGTAAGTGGTCTGATTTTTTCCGACAAAATTTGTGATAAAAACTTCCGAGTAGCTGTTGCGGCGAAAATCACGTAAGTCGGACACGACTGTGATTTTCCAAAGCAATAGCTATGAGCTAATTTGTCGAACAAATTTTGAAGAAAAAATCAGACCGCGAATTATATTCAGCACAACAATTCAACAAGAAAATTTTTATTCGCGTGTGTAAGTATGAACGGAGAATTAGTTGGTGTCCAGCGTGTAACTAAACTATGTTTTTTTTTTGTATTAAAGAACCAGTAACTCTGCACACTTGTCAGAAATACAAGTGGCAACATGGCTAGGGATTTTCTATGATAATACTTAGATAACAGAATAATGGTTATGCCTATAATGTCATACGTCGTGTTGGTTTTTAAGTCTTCAGTGCTTGAAAAATAACTCTAATAGAGAAATTAAATAAAAGTATAGCAAACAATTACAGTTGAGATTTTCACAAGTTTTATCAGGTTACCGAAAATAATGTTGGGTGATTAGCCGAATATATGTATATTAGGAGATAGGAACGAGATGAGATGTGGTGCACAAAGCTCTCTGAACAGATAATGCAACTATATGTATGTAAGTAATCAAGGATTTCAACAGAGAAATGGAAATGAAGAACTGTCTTAAACGCTCACTTTCCGTTTATTGAAGACGATTTAGATGTTGAAAATAATGACGAAATACTGAAAGAAGAGCTAGAGCGAGAAGTGATTCTTCGAAGACATAGACAATAAAGAAGAGACGACAGTTCAAATATAATAATCTGCCAGTTTCGGTTATAATTTTTTGTTAAAAAAATTAACAAACACTGCTTATAAGCCGCTATATTCATTTCCATCATTATTTATTATTAAGTATTACATTAAAATTATCCTTTTCTTGTATCTTGTCTAACAGTTGATTTTCTCGTTGCATTTGCAGTCGAATGAGCTGTAATTGTTCAAGGAATAATTCATCTGTTTCCTATTTTGACTCCACTTAAGAGGCCTTGGAGAAAGTGGTGGAGGTGCAGCTAGCGACTGTGTAGCTAATTGAACCTGGGGAGCATTTTCATTCCAGTCTTACCTGGTATTTGTGTACCTACTGGATTGCACTGTTCGTTCATCAACGCCATCTATTCCCTTTTTTCCTCTGATTTGTGTATTCTGAGAAATTTTTATGTGGTATTTTAAAATTGAAATCGTTTTTTCGATTGTTCTTGCGTCGATGTAAACAGAAGTGGAAATTTTACACGTCTTACTGACAGATGACAGTTATCGGTTCTGTCATCTGTATCATATGTGCAACATTGTTGGTTCTTTAATAAAAAACATATAGTCTTTGCCATTTTTATTGAAACACCACTTGTTATAGTAAATTTGGCAACGTTCATATTCAGACAATTTTGTAACTAAAAGCCGCTGTCAATCAACCGAAAGCTGTTACCAATTGCTAAATTTTAAGCAAAATCAACCAGTGGTGTTTTAATAGAAATGGCAAAGACATTAGTATATGTCTACCCAGCAGTCTAGCAACAAAACACCAACGAGGAAAATAAACAATAAAATCATATTGAACTTTATTTGTGCTTCTGGTGGTTTAATTTAATAATAAGTTTGAGTGGAAGATATGGAAATAAAACGGTAACGGAAATATACAATGGAGTACAAGAAACACAATACAAAATACATAGAGAATACAATATTCTGTTTGGAAACAATTTAAAGAATTTATATGCGAAAATTTCCTCTAAACAAAGCAGTTGAATTAAAGAGGTGGCCAGCATATTAGAAAATTATGCTTTTAATTGTAGCGAAAAAGATGGTACCGAATAACAAGTAAGAGATCCAAAAATGTGCAAAATAAAGTACAATTTCGGTTACAATACAGAGTCATCAAAATTGATTGAGAGAGTTGGTACTCCATGTTTTTGCCGCGAACTTTGTCAACCTTATGATGACAGATTTGTTTAAGGTTATGTGGCAATGAATTCAGTGGCGTGACAAGAGAACTGGGGGTTGATTGTCGAACTCACCTGAATCAGTTACGGATACGAAAGTTACCTTGTTGCAAAGTTACGAACGGTTTTAATGTTTGTACGA